GCCTCCCAAAGTGTTGGGATTACGGGCGTGAGTCACCAGATCTGGCCCTCTGACAGAGCCTATGGATGTAGTTTTCATTTGGGAGGTCATGCAGTGCTGGTATTGTGTGTGTGTGTTGAGTTTCTGAAGACAAGGATGTCCACCTCTGCTGCTTCTGTTTAACATGGTACTGCAGATCTGGCCAGACATTTAGGCAAGAAAAAATAAAAGGCATCTAGATTGGAAAGGGAAGAAGTTTATCTCTATTTGCAGATCATATGAACTACAGAAAACCCTAAGGAATCCACTAAAACCATTAGAACTAATCATCAAGTTTAGCAAGGTTGAAGGATACAAGATCAATACGCAAATATAGAATATGCTACAATGCGCAATCTGAAAATGAAGCAGAAAATAATCCCCCATCTACATTGGCATCAAAAGAATAAAATAGGATAAGTGTAACAAAACAAATACTTATATTCTGAAAACTGCAAAACGTTGTTGAAAGAAATGAAAGTTTTGAATAAATGGATTAACATCCCATGTTCATGGATTGGAAAACTTAACATTGTCCAGATGGGGGACTCCCCAAATTGACCTACAAATCAACACAATCCCTATGAAAATTCCACTTGTTTCCATTGTAGAAACTGACATGCTGATTCTAATCCATAGTTCATATGGAATTGCAAGAGACCCAGAATAGCCAAAACAACCGTGAAAATAACATAGTAGAAGGACCCATACCCTGATTTCAAAAACTAAAAGTCACAGTAATCGGTGCACTGGTACAAGACAGATACATAGATCAATGAATAGAATAGAGCACCTGTAGGTATCTAAGCGGTCAGGATGCCAGACCATTCAATGAGGGGTGGAAGTACCAGCAGATGGAGGGTTGGGACAAATTCTCGCATATTTGCATACAAAAGACCCTAAAGGCACTTTTATACAAAAAGTAAAAATAAATGAAAGTTCAACAAAATTTAAAATATAAAGCTCCTTAGAAGAAAACATAGGGATAAGTCCTCACTACCTGGATTTGCCAAAGATCTGATTTATATACCAAAACATGAGCAGCAGAACATGAAAGACACAGATAAATTCCAAGAACCGGGAGAGCTGGGCACTTACGCCTGTAATCCCAGCACTTGTAGTGGCCGAGATTGGGCAGATCACTGAGATCAGAGTTGAGACCATCCTGGCCAAGGAACTCGCTCTACTGAAAATACAAAAAAATTAGCTAGCGGTGGCGGTGCCTGTACTTCAAAGCACTTGTGGAGGCTAAGGCAGAATCTTAACCCAGTAGGCGGAGGTTGCAGTGAGCCAAGATCACCACTGCATCAGTTTGGGCGATGAGCAGACTCCCATTCCAAAAAACAAAATTAAGAACCTTGCTGCTTCGAAGGACATCATGCAGACGAGGCTAAAAGCTCACAGGCTGTGCGGGACACACCAGCAATCCCAGCACCTCGGTGGGCGACTAATGCAGGCTGTGAGATCATGACCATCCTGAAGCACAGAAACCCATACTTACCAAAATACAAATAATAGCTGGGTGGTGTATGGTGCCTGTGAACCGGGAGGCTGAGCAGGAGAATGGCAACCTTGGGAGGTGTGGACAGTGAGCCAAGATCAAGACAGCCTGCACTCCAGCCTGCCTAGCGATGTGCTGGGCATAGGAGCCCTGTCTCAAAAAAAAAAAGCACAGCCTGTTGAATATGGAAAATAGCTGCCAATCATGGGTTCGGGGCCAAGTGGACTCTGCATCAGAATATATAAAGAATCAGCCGGCGGGTGGCTCAAGCTGTAATCCCAGCACTTTGGGAGGCACGGTGACGGCTGGACGTACAAGTCAGAGATCGCACTTATCCTGGAAACCCTGGCTTCTACTAAAAATACAAAAATGCCGGGCGAGGTGGCGGCGCCTGTAGTCCCAGCTACTGGGAGGCTGAGGCAGTGAGAGCCTAAGGAACCCGGGAGGCGGAGCTTGCAGTGAGCTGAGATCGGCTACCACCCAGCCCGGAGACAGAGCGACTGCCCCTGGGCGACAGAGCGAGACTCCGTCTCAAAAAAAAAAAAAAAAAAAAGAATATATAAAGAATCCTTATAACTTAATAGTGAAAAGATAACCCAGTTAAACATGGGTGGAGGTTCTGAATAGAAAGAAATGTCTCCAAGGAAGATATTCAGGTGGTCGGTGAGCACATGGAAAGATGCTTGAGATCATCAGTCATCAGGGAACTGCACATCAAAACCACCGTGAGATGCTACTTCACACCCACTTGGATAACAACCAGCGTGGGCGAGGATGCGGAGCAGCTGGAACCCTCAGGCGCTGCCGGTGGGAAGGGAAAACGGTGCGGCTGCTGTGGAAAATAGTGTCTCAAACAATTACACAGAATCGCCACATGACCCAGCAGCTCCACCCCTAGGTATGTACCCAAGAGAAATGAAAACGCACCCACACCAAAATTCGTCCCTGAGCATTTACAGTGGCTTTATCCATAACAGCCAAAAGGCAGAAACCACCCAAGTCTCCAAGGATAAACACATGGATAAACAAAGGGTGGCACCTCCCTACGATGGAATTACTCACCATGAAGAGGAATGAAACACAGAGTGGCCGAGCCTTGAAACCATGCCGAGTCAAGAAGCCCGCACATGCAGTAGGGTTCCATTCATAGGAAACGTCCAGTATGGGGATGTTAGAGAGATTGAAAATAGATTAGTGGTTGTTTAGGGTTGGAGGTAGGGTGGAGGGGAGGGAGGTTGGCAGCTAAAGAGTATGAGGTTTCTTTTTGAGATGGTGAAAATGTTCTGAAATTGACTATGGATGTGGCTGCACAACTGTGGGAATATAATAAAACCCATTGAATTGTACACTTTATTTTTTTGAGACAGAGTCTTGCCCTGTTGCCAGACTGGAGTACAGTGGAGTGATCTCAGCTCACCGCAACCTCCACCTCCCGGTTCAAGCAATTCTGTTGTCTCAGCCTCCCGAGTAGCTGGAATTACAGGCATGCACCACCACACCCGGCTAATTTTTGTATTTTTAGTAGAGACAGGGTTTCACCATGTTGGCCAGTATGGTCGCGATCTTCTGACCTTGTGATCTGCCTGCCTCTGCCTCTGAAAGTGCTAGGATTACAGGCGTGAACCACTGCACCTGGCATCTTAATTGTACACTTTAAATGGATGAATTGTAAGGAGTGTGGATGATATTTCAATAAAGCTACTTAAAATAAAAGAAACTGCCAAGTTGTATGCTAGAGTGGCCATCTTACCTTTCTACTACACAGTTTCTATGCAGCCTCGCCAGCTTTTGGCGCTGTCGCTACGTTTAATTTTAGCCATTCTGATTGCGGTGTGGTGATGTCTCATTGCGCCCTTAATATGCATTTCCCTAATGGCTAACAATGCTGACTATCTGAATATCTTTTGTAAAAGTAGAGACAGGGTCTCGCTCTGTTGCCCAGGTTGGAGTGCAGTGGTAATCATGGCTCACTGCAACCCTAAACTCCTGGGCTCGAGCAATCCTTCTACCTCAGCCTCCCAAGTAACTGGGGCTACAGGTGTGCACCACCATGCGCAGCTAATTAATTTTTTTTTAGAGATGGTGTCTTGCGTTTTTTGTTTAGAGATGGGGTGTTGGTTGCCAGGTTAGTCTCAAACTCCTGCCCTTAAGTGTTTCTTCCACCTTGGTCTCTGAAAGTGCCGGGATTATAGGCGTGAGCCACTGCGCTCAGCCCTAAATATCTTTTTATGTGCTTATTTGCCATCTGTAGATTCTCCTTGGTGAAGTGTTTCATGTCTCTTGTCTATTTTCTTTTCTTTTCTTTTTTTTTTTTGAGACGGAGTCTTGCTTTGTCGCCCAGGCTAGAGTGCAGTGGCCGGATCTCAGCTCACTGTAAGCTCCACCTCCCGGGTTTATGCCGTTCTCCTGCCTCATCCTCCCGAGTAGCTGGGACTACAGGCGCCCGCCACCATGCTCGGCTAGGTTTTTTTTTGTATTTTTTAGTAGAGACGGGGTTTCACCGTGTTAGCCAGGGTGGTCTCGATCTCCTGACCTTGTGAGCCACCCGTCTCGGCCTTCCAAAGTGCTGGGATTACAGCTTGAGCCACCGCGCCCAGCCGTCTATTTTCTAATTGGATTGTTTATTTATTTATTTTTTTACTGTTGAGTTTTGAAAGTCACCCTCCCCCGCCACCAAAATACCTGGACAGGAGTGGTTTGTCAGACATGTGGTTTGCAAATATTTACCCTGTGGCTTGTCTTTTCATTCTCTTAAGAGCTTGTTTTTGCAGAGTAAGAGTTTTTAGTTTTGAGGAAGCTCAGTGTGTGGACTTTCTCTTTTATGCAGTGCTTTTGATGTTAGGTCTGAGGGCTTCCCCCAAGTCCTCGCTCTGCGGCGTGTCCTCCTGTCTTCTTCTGATCTGCTGATGTCATCGTGAGACTTTTCTCACTTGGTGGATCGCACTGATCGATTTTCAGGTGTGAACCAGCCTTGCATTCCCACTTGGCCGTGGTGATACTTCTTTTTGCATGTTACTGAATTCTCTTTGCTAACATTTTGTTAAGGTCCTGGGTAGAATTTGCTTTGACTTCCTATTAAGAGCCTGCCTGGAGAGCTCGCTGCTTCAGGGAGTTGTGAAAAGGCTCCAGGAGAGAGCAGGAAAAGTGATTGGAAGGGTCTGAAAGCAAGGTCTCCAGGAAGGGCCAAAGAAGGGGCGGCGTGGTTTGGAGGGAGGAGGCCAAATGGGAAAGCAGCCGTCTCTCGGTGCGCTTTCATCTGTCTTCTAAAGCACGCCCCGCCCCTCTCTGTCCTCATGCTGCCCTGGTGCGTGGTCCCCGGCTGCTGGTGTCAGGGCAAGGACAAAGACCCGGGAGTCTGAGTCCTGGTGATTGCCAGGCCCTGGGGAATGGCGGGAGATGCGGGCGGAGGCTCTTCTTGTGACCGGGGCAGGACGTGTCTTCTGCTGGACTGGCACCTTTTTGTTTGTCCCGTTGGTGGCAGATGTGAGTGACATCGGGCGCTTCCTCAGTGCATTTCACGAGCCGCACGCGGGGCTCATCCAGGCCGCCCAGCAGCTGCTGTGTGATGAGCAGGCCCCGCAGAGGCAGAGGCTGCTGGCCGACCTCCTGCACAATGTCAGCCAGAACATTGCAGCTGAGACCCGGGCTGAGGACCCGCCGTGGTTTGAAGGTGCGTGGGGGCTGCACCCGGGCTGAGGACCCATGTGGTTTGAAGGTGCGTGGGGGCTGCACCCGGGCTGAGGACCTGCGTGGTTTGAAGGTGCGTGGAGGCTGCAGCTGGCAGGGGAAAGCCTTTTTCAGAGCCTAAGGTGCCAGGAGAAGTTGGGTTCCAAAAAGCCCCCAACGAAGGGCTGGCCTGTACCCTTGTGGGTTGAGGTGGGGGACTCTGAAGAAAACGTGCTCATTTTCCAGCCTCGTGGGAAAGGCACCCAGCAAGGACTCACGTGGGGCCAGAGTCCAGGGCAGCCCTCAGATGGGACTTTTTATTCTTTTTTTTTTTTTTTTGAGACGGAGTCTTGCTCTGTCGCCCAGGCTGGAGTGCAGTGGCCGGATCTCAGCTCACTGCAAGCTCTGACTCCCAGGTTTATGCCATTCTCCTGCCTCAGCCTCCCGAGTAGCTGGGACTACAGGCACCCGCCACCTCACCCGGCTAGTTTTTTGTATTTTTTTAGTAGAGATGGGGTTTCACTGTATTAGCCAGGATGGTCTCGATCTCCTGACCTCGTGATCCGCCCGTCTCGGCCTCCCAAAGTGCTGGGATTACAGGCTTGAGCCACCGCGCCCGGCTGGGACTTTTTATTCTTTTTATTTTATTTTTTGAGATGGAGTCTCGCTCTGTCACCCAGGCTGGAGTGCAGTGGCATGATCTTGGCTCACTGCAACTTCTGCCTCCCAGGTTCAAGCGATTCTCCTGCCTCAGCCTCCGGAGTAGCTGGGATTAAGTCACGTGCCACCACGCCTGGCTTGTTTTTAGTACAGATGAGGGTTCACCATGTTGACCAGGCTGGTCTTGAACTTCTGACCTCAGCCTCCCAAAGTGCTAGGATTACAGGTGTGAGCTACTATGCCTGGCCTATTATAATTATTTTAAAAATTGTGATAAAGTACATATGACATAAAATTTACCATCTCAACCATTTTTTAGTGCACAGGTCATTGGCATTAGGTACAGTCACATGTGCGGCCATCCCCACTGTCATCTCCAGAACTCCTTCCACCTTACAAAGCTGAACCCGTGTCCCCGTTACATTCACTCTCCATTCCCCCTCCTCCAGCCCCTGGCAGCCACCATTCTGGTTTCTGTCTCTCTGATTTGATGACTCTAGGGACCTCATATGAATGGAGTCACATAGTATTTGTCCTTTTGTAACTGACTTATTGCACTCAGCACAGTGTCCTCAAGGTTCTTCCATATCATAGAACATATCAAAATTTCCTTCTTTTTAAGGCCAAATGATGCTCCACTGTGTGTACATACCACACTCCGTCTATTGCTCCACCACATGCCCCACTCCATCCTATTCTCCACTGCACGTACATACCCATCTGTCTATTCCTCCACTGAGCCATATACCCAACTCTGTCTATTCAACGTACATACCACACTCCGTCTATTCACTCCACTGCACGTACATACCCCGCTCTGTCTATTCACTCCACTGGACATACATGCCCCGCTCTGTCTATTCACTCCACTGTGTGTACATACCACATTCTGTCTATTCACTCCACTGCACGTACATACCATGCTCTGTCTATTCACTCCACTGCATATACATACCACACTCTCTATTCACTCCACTGCATGTACATACCCCACTCTCTGTATTCACTTCACTGCGTGTACATACCACACTCTCTCTATTCACTGCACTGTGTGTACATGCTCCATTCTGTCTGTTCACTCCACTGCACGTACATACCACAGTCTCTCTATTCACTGCACTGCATGTACATACCCCGCTCTGTCCATTGACTCCACTGCATGTACATACCCTGCTCTGTCTATTCACTCCACTACATGTACATACCCCGCTCTATTCACTCCACTGAGTGTACATACCCTGCTCTGTCTATTCACTCCACTGCACATACATACCCCGCTCTGTTCATTCACTCCACTGCATGTACATACCCTCTATTCACTCCACTGCGTGTACATACCACACTCTGTCTATTCACTCCACTGCACGTACATACCCCGCTCCGTCTATTCACTCCACTGTGTGTACATACCACGCTCTGTCCATTCACTCCACTGCGTGTACATACCACACTCTCTCTATTCCCTGACACTTGGTTTGCTTCCAGCTTTTGGCCTGGCATTGTAAGCCCATTAGAAGCGATGCTGAGAGATTGTAGCCTTTTTGGGAAAGGAGGGCTTGAGGGCCAGGCAGAAGCTCCTTGGTGATATTTGAGATGCTTCTAAAAACAAAAACCAAACAGGGATGCTGTCTGTGTCACCATCAGAATACTTCTCAAGATGATGCAATCTGGCTGGGTGAGGTTGCTCACGCCTATAATCCTAGCACTTTGGGAGGCTGAGACTGGAAGACAGCTTGAGCCCTGGAGTTCAAGATCACCCTAGGTAACAAAGTGAGACCTCATCTCTAAAAAGATGTAAAAAGTTAGCTAGCTGTGGTGGTGCGTGCCTGTAGTCCTAGCTACTTGGGAGTCTGAGGCAGGAGGATTCCCCGAGCCCAGGAGGTCAAGGCTGTAGTAAGCTGTGTTCATGCTACTGTACTCCAGCCTGGAGGAGAGAGCGAGACCCTGTCAAAAAGCTGAGGCAGTATGACCCTCATATTCTGCCCTGCTTGGCACCTGAGCTGGGTGGGACACAGACCTAGAGGCCCTTGGCCTGCCCTGTGGACTTGGGGGTCTTCTCATTTTCCTTGCAGGCTTGGAGTCCCGATTTCAGAATAAGTCTGGCTATCTGAGATACAGCTGTGAGAGCCGGATCCGGAGTTACCTGAGAGAGGTGAGCCTGTGTGAAGGCCGGGTATGCTCGAGGGTTTTTGAAGCCAAGCTCTGTGGGCTCTGGAAGCTTGTGGTCTTCACAATGGGCAGTTGGTAGGACCACACTCTGTGCTTGCGTGGATCTGGTGGCGCTGCTCTGGTGAGGGAAGCTAGCGCATGGACGCTGTGCCTCCCCCTTCATGGGGGTGAGCACCCACTGGGCCTTTTTAGCTGTGTTTGAGGTCACTGGGGTTGGGGAGCGGGGCGGTGGTGGCTCCTGCCTGCCTCCCCTCCTCTCCCCACGAGGCTTCTTCCTGGGCAGCAGTGGCAAGCATCAGGGCAGACAGGGGAGAGGATGCCCAGAGCCTGAGTTGTCATTTGCCCAACTGTGACCAAGGTCAGCAGGCGCTAGCAGGGAGCTGAGGCCCTTCTCATGAGCCCATCCTTGGTCTGCAAACCTCTCCGCCTCTCCCTCCTCCCTCCCAAAGGTGGAGTCAGCTCTGCCCTCATTTCCATCCACCCCATCTGAATGTGGATTTCCTCATCACATAGCATGACACGCCACACTACCCCATACCACACCACACCAGGTCACACCCCGTCATGCCACACCCTGTCATGCCACACCATGCCATGTGCCCGCCACACCCTGCGATGCCACACCATGCCACGCCACACCTGTCATGCCACCACACCACGCCCGCCCACCCTGCCATGCCACACCATGCCAGCACACCTGTCATGCACACCGCCCGCCACACACTCTGCGATGCCACCATGCCCGCCACACCCTGCCATGCCACACCATGCCACGCCACACCTGCCATGCCACACCATGCCCACGCCACCTGTCATGCCACACCATGCCACGCCACACTCTGTGATGCCACACCATGCCCGCACCCTGTCATGCCACACCATGCTGCGCCACATCATTACTTGCAGCGGGTGCTGTGGAACCACTGTAATGGGCTTCCTGTCACCATGCCACGCCACACCCTGTCATGCCACACCATGCCACGCCACATCATTAGCACGCGGAGGGTGCTGTGGAGGCCACTGTAATGGGCTTCCTGTCCCAGTGCTGCCCTGCGTGGTCGGCCCCTGAGCCCTCAGTCCACCCCTCTCTGTGGCACAATTGCTAATGCTGCTCTGCACTCCCTATGTTTTTCTGCATGTCCTCGAGGTCCTGGTGACTGGCCATGTTCTCGTGCATTTCCCAGCCTGCTCCCTGTAGCGGAGCTAACTGATCCTGATACTCTTCACTGCAAGTGCAATGACCAGGCGCTTCCCCGTCTGACCAGGGTGGGACAGCCGTGCCTGCCTAACTTTGCTAGCTCATCTTCTTTTTTGAGATGGAGTCTCACTGGAGTACAGTGGTGCAATCTCAGCTCACTGCAACCTCTGCCTTCCAGGTTCAAGCGATCCTCCTGCCTCAGCCTCCCAAGTAGCTGGGATTACAGGCATATGGCACCATGCCCCGCTAATATTTTGTATTTCTAGTAGAAATGGGGTTTCACCATGTTGGTCAGGCTGGTCTCAAACTCCTGACCTCAAGTGATCCGCCTCCCAGAGTGTGGGGATTATAAATGTGAGCCACCACACCCAGTCCGTTATCTCATCTAAGTCTCACCCAGCCTGGGGGCTGGCGTAGTTCCCTCCATTTCACAGGTCAGAGTCTCCCAGGGTGGGACAGCCCAGCAGTGGCCGAGAGGCCATGTGAACTCAGACCCGCTGACCACAGGACTGGGCTTGGGCAGGGTCTCAGAGGGCCATGGAGTGGGATGGATCGAGACTCAGTGCGGGTTTTGGGGCACTGTGCACCAGGCTCAGCGATGTTGCTTGGTTCCTCCAGGTGAGCTCCTACCCCTCCTTGGTGGGTGCGGAGGCTCAGGAGGAATTCCTGCGGGTCCTCAGCTCCATGTGCCAGAAGCTCCGGTCCGTGCAGTACAATGGCAGCTACTTCGACAGAGGAGCCAAGGGCGGCGGCCGTCTCTGCACGCCGGAAGGCTGGTTCTCCTGCCAGGTGAGCTGTGTGCCCTTTATCCTGGGGCCACCCGGCTGGCCTGCGGAGTGCAGCCCACTGGGGCGAGGCGGGCGGGGACCTTCAGCCCTTGGCCTGCCTGGGCAAAGCCTTGTGAAGAGGTGCAGCCCTCACATTCCCAGGGAGGGTGGCGGTGTCTCAGCAGTGCCTCTGAAGCTGCCATGCACACAGGAGTCCCTAGGGAGCTTGCAGAAGGCTGCAGGGCCCCGCCCCAGGGCTTGTCTCGGTAGGGCTGGGCGGTGTCTCAGTCAGCCCCTGCTGCCATAACAGATGACCCCAGATCACCCTGGCGGGGGAGGCTGGAACAGCAGCTAGTTACTGCTCACGGTTCTGGAAGCTGGAAGCTGAGATCAGGCCCACGCTCCCCCACTGCCTTCCCAGGTGCCCCTTCTGCACCATGCTAGGCGTGGTCTGGCCTTTAGTGGCGATACATCTGTGTCTCTGGCGAGTCCTGGGCATACCCCTCTCCCTCCCATGGGGCGGGGAGCAACTTGAGGCGCCTCTTGGTGTTTGCACACTGCAGTTGCATTCCTGGTAAGGTCCACTGATGCCTGTGATCTTCCAAGTGCCGCTCAGTGGGTCCAGTGGCAGGGGCCAGGTGGTGGGTGCGGCCTCCAGTGGCTTCTTCTCATGGGACAAGGCTCCTTGCTGCTCCTGCCAGGCAGATCCTTCTGGGGGTGGTGGGCTCTGACCACAAAAACACTTCTTCCAAGTTAGCTTAACATTTAGACTTTGCAGTGCGCTTGCTCACCACTGACTGAGTACCTATGTTGTGCCTGGCACTGTGGGAGGGTTTGGGACGCAAAGATGAAAAATCCTTCATCCCTGACAGCAGGGTGAGTCCCGCACAGTGGAAGGTGAAAGACACATAAAAGAGCGAGGCAGAGGAGGCCGTGGGGCTGCAGGAGGTGCGGCCAGCGTCCTGGGTGTGAGGGCTAGTCGGGAGCGGCCCCAGGGAGGCAGTGAGGCCTTAAAGCGGGTTGACTGATAGATGGGGGCACAAGAGTGGGCTGGGAGGGACCAGGTGCCCCGGGCATGGCAGTGGGAAGCAGTGGGCTCTGCTGGGGAGGCTGCGAGTCCCCAGGGTGATGGGGGCACAGAATGCAAGTGGGCACGGGGGCTCCAGGCATGTGCTCTGCAGAAGTCTGTGCACAAATGAGTGTGCCGAGTGCTGGGCTGTGGGCTACAGGGAAGACGGAAGCCATGGCCATGGCACCTTCAGTGAGGCAGCCCTGCCTCTGCATTGGGATCACAGGAAAACATCAGGAAGCTGTGGGGAGTGGCTGGAAAGGGAGCTTCTAGGGCCTGGGTCCTTGCTTCTCATGCTCTGGCCCTGCCCTGCCAAGTCAGTACCTTCCTGGCCTCACCTCCCATGAGGTGGGGGTGCTGGTGTGTGACCCCAGGGGTAACAGTGACAATAACTACCTTATCCTCTTTACAAACTAAGAACATATTGTTAGGTTACCGTAATGAAGGAAAAAGAAGGATCGATTCCAAAGGCAGAACTCTTTTTTTTTTTTTTTCCTTTGAGACGAGTCTGTCTCTGCCTCCCAGGTTCAAGTGATTCTCCTGCCTCAGCCTCCCGAGTAGCTGGGATGACAGGTGCCCGCCACCATGCCTGGCTAAGTTTTGTATTTTTAGTAGAGATAGGGTCTCACCATGTTGGCCAGGCTGGTCTTGAACTCCTGACCCCAGGTGATCTACCCACATCGGCCTCCCAAAGTGCTGGGATTCCAGGCGTGAGCCACCACGCCCGGCCAAGGCAGAACTCTGAATCTCCCTAAAGCAGCACACCCTGGATCAGGGACCAACCCCCAAGGGGCGTGCCTCTCAGTAAGATCACCTGCCTTGGTGTATTAGGCCATTCTCTCATTGCTATAAAGAAATAGAGAGTGGGTAATTTATAAAGAAAAGAGGTGTAATTGGCTTATGGTGCAGCAGGCTGCACAGGGAGCATGGTGCTGGCATCTGCTCAGCTGCCTGGGAGGCCTCAGGAAACTCACACTTGTGGTGGCAGGGGAGGCAGGATCAGGCACGTCTCACGTGGGGGAAGCAGGAGCAAGAGGGAGAATGAGGGGTGGGTGCTACTTTTAAGCCAGATCCCAGGAGGACTCACTCCAGCATGGGCAGCACCCAGGGGATGGTGCTAAACCCTTCATGAGAAATCCGCCCCCAGGATCCATCACCTCCCACCAGGCCCCACCTCCCACCCTGGGACTGACATTCCGACATGAACTCTGGGTGGGGCTGCACATCCAGAGCATGTCGCTTGGTGACTGAGATGGTATAAGAGACCCACTTCCGGCCGGGCGCGGTGGCTCACGCCTGGAATCCCAGCACTTTGGGAGGCTGAGGCTGGCGGATCACTAGGTCAAGAGATCCAGACCATCCTGGCCAACATGGTGAAGCCCCGCCTCTACTAAAAATACAAAAATTAGTCGGACATGGTGGCACATGCCTGTAGTCCCAGCTGCTTGGGAGGCTGAGACAGGAGAATCATTTGAAACTGGGTGACAGAGGTTGTAGTGAGCCGAGATCGTGACGCTGCACTCCAGCCTGGCGACAGAGTGAGATGCCGTCTAAAAAAAGAGAGACTCACTTTCTGGCCTTCCCTCGTTCTCTTTTGGCCCCCAGGGTCCCTTTGACATGGACAGCTGCTTATCAAGACACTCCATCAACCCCTACAGTAACAGGGAGAGCAGGATCCTCTTCAGCACCTGGAACCTGGATCACATGTAAGCTCACAGAGCAAGGTTCAGACCTGAGAGTGCCTGCGGGGCCCTGTCCCTGCTGCGGCCCCGTCCCTGCCGCGGCCCCATCCCTACCACAGCTCTGTCCCTGCCACAGCTCTGTCCCTGCCACGGTGTTGCCTCCTTGGGTTTCAAGGGCTGTGCCCGTGTTACAGTCTAGGGAAGTGGTGCCTGGTAGCAGCATGGGAGGCTCCTGAGTGGGCACACACCATTCCCTCCACTGTCAGTACACGTGCTGGACCTGGAGCCATCCCTCCTGTCCCCTCCAGTGCTCCCTGTGGATGGAGCTGGTGGGCAGCGTCCTTCCCCAGAACATAGGTCCCAGCCCTCGGCCGTCAGAGGTTCTGAGCCTCTGTGAGTTCGAACCAGGGCGAGCTTAGAAAGCGGGAGCTCCTGGTGTCACGGTAGGTAAGGGTGTTTTCCCCTTTTTCTTTTTCTTTTAGAGACGGAGTCTTGCTCTGTGGCCCAGGCTAAGTGCAGTGGCAGGATCATGGCTCACTGAAGCCCTGAACTGCTAGCCTCAAGCGATCCTCCTGCCTCAGCCTCCTGAGTCGCTGGGACTACAGGTGCTCGCCACCATGCCTGGCTGGCTTATTTTGTGGAACCAGCCTGGGCAGAAGTCTCAGCTGGCAGGAGTGTTTCATAGCTGTACGAGCTGTGTGGCTCTTACAAATGGGCAGGATGGAAAACTTCATTCTTTTAAACTGAGATGCATTCCTTGAATATAATTGTAGCCTTGCCCTTGCTTTTTGAAGACAAAAGCCTTCAAATGCCCGTAAAATGGCTGTACAGGATGAGCATCCCTAATCGGAAAATCTGAAATCTGAAGTGCTCCAAAATTCAAAACTTTTTGCGTACCAACATGAAGCTCAAAGGAAATGCTCATCTGGGCATTTAGGATTTGGGAGTTTTTTTTTTTTTTTTTTCTTCCTGAGATGGAGTTTTGCTCTTGTCGCCCAGGCTGGAATGCAATGGCGCGATCTTGGCTCATTGCAACCTCCGCCTCCCAGATTCAAGCGATTCTCCTGCCTTAGCTTCTCCAGTAGCTGGGATTACAGGCACGTGGAACCATGCCCAGCTAATTTTGTATTTTTAGTACAGAAGGGGTTTCTCCATGTTGGTCAGGCTGGTCTTGAACTCCCAATCTCAGGTGATCTGCCCTCCTTGGCCTCCCAAAGTGCTGGGGTTACAGGCATGAGCCACCGCATCCGGCCAGATTTGGGATTTTTTTAAGGATGCTCAGCTAGTCAGTGTAATGTAAATATTCCAAAATCCTAAAAAAATCCCAAATCAAAAACACTTCTGGTCCTCAGCATTTCAGATGGGGACACTCAACCTGTATTGCTTTCGGAGTGAGGTATTTTTAAAGTATGTAAAACACTATGGTCATAGTTGAGCTTTTACCCTGTCCGTACTCAGCCCCTACACCTTACCCCGAGGAACACGCTCTTGTGAAAGGTGTGTGTGCCCTTCAGATCCCTGTCGCTGCACCTTTACCACATGCGTGTGCGTTTGACATGCACCTACGCCATGGCCCACACTGTCATCTGCAGTATACCTTTTCATTGCACACTATGCTTAGATTTGGCACATTCATTTTAGCAGGTGCAAAACACTTCACTTTTTGAATAGGCTCTAATTTTAACATCTTTCCATGCTGGTAGGCATTTAGGTTATTTCTAATTTCTCATCATTATAAAAATCCCTGGGATGAACACTCTATGGAATGAACCCATATGGTCTGGTTCCGTGCTATTTAAAGTGTGGTCACTTTCAAGCATTAGCAACATCTGGGAGCCGGGTGGGAATTCAGATTCTTAGGCCCCCATCCACATAGAACCCAGGTGCCTGGGGATTGGGGTGTGCATCCAAGCATGGGGAAGGTGCCCCCAGTGTCTGAGCTTGAGTCCCTCTAGGGAGTGTTCTGGGTCCTAATGACACTGCTGTCCCCTCTCTGAGCCTGGCCAGGCTGCTCTCGAGTGTCCCAGCCTACACGCTCACCATCCGTGTGAGTTCATGTTTTCCCAGGTTCTTGCTGACACTTGGTGTCAGTGTTCTGCATTTTCCCAACCTGATAGGTGAGACACAGATTCTCTTGCTCTAATTTTCATTTTCCTAATGACTAGGAAGGTTGAGCTTCTCTTTCCAAGTCTGTGGCCACTTGTGTCTTCTGTGTTGCTTTCCTTTGCTCGTTCTGTCTTGGGCTGTGGTCTTATTTGTGGGCATGCTTTACACATTCTGGATACATTAATCCTATGATATCTTTTTTCATAAGTTTTATTTATTTATTTTTTGAGATGGAGTCTCACTCTGTCGCCCAGGCTGGCGTGCAGTGGTGTGATCTTGGCTCACTGCCACCTCCACCTCCTAGATTCAAGCGATTCTCCTGCCTCAGCCTCCCGAGTAGCTGGGACTATAGGTGCACACCACCACACCTGGCTAATTTTTGTATTTTTTTAAGTAGAGATGGGGTTTTGCCATGTTGGCCAGGCTGGTCTCAAACTCCTGACCTCAAGTAATCTACCCACCTTGGCTTCCCAAAGCGTTGGAATTATAGGCATGAACCACTGTGCCTGGCCCACAACAAGTTTAATTTATTTTCTTTCTTTTTTTTGAGACGGAGTCTCGCTCTGTCACCCAGGCTGGAGTGCAGTGGTGCAATCTTGGCTCACTGCAAGCTCTGCCTCTCGGGTTCACGCCATTCTCCTGCCTCAGCCTCCCGAGTAGCTGGGACTACAGGCGCCCGCCACCATGCCTGGCTAATTTTTTTTGAAGTTTTTAGTAGAGACAGGGTTTCACCGTGTCAGCCAGGATGGTCTCGATCTCCTGACCTTGTGAACCGCCTGCCACAGTCTCCCAAAGTGCTGGGATTATGGCATGAGCCACTGCGCCTGGCCCAGGTTTTAAATGTTAATGTGCTCAGATGTTCCTTTTGTGTGTTAAGAAATCCTTCCCTGCCCTGTCTATCCGAAAGAGATTCTCCTACTCTTTGCTGGTTTGTTGGGCCCCTTGCCACGTGCACCAAGTACCCAAAAATGTTTTCTCCCGGCCGTCCAAATGCTCTTGTCCCTTTCAAGATCATGGTGGGTGGGGACGTCAACCTAGGGGACACAACCAGCATTTACAGAGTGAAATAGGCCATCCTAGAACAGAGTACAGATGAAAATAGCAGACGGGACAGCGTGAGTCAGAGGAATGTTTCACCAAGTGTTTGCTGCAGTTATATTTTCTCTCACGCTTCCTAAATATGTATACTCACACACAGATAAGTGCGTTGGGTTTTAATTAAAAATGTCGTTTTTAGCACCGGTCTTCAGAAGGTTGCAGAGACACTGGTCTGTTTGCCACAGGCCTGCCCTGACGTTTGTGGGGGTTGACACCACGTGTCACATATTTAACTATTTAAGAATAAAAGCTAACGATGCAATAAAATGCATGCTGTCCCCCTACCTGGACTTATGCAGCATCATGGCTGGGAAGGTTCGAGAAGAATTTGCAGGCCTCTCCCAGTTCCAGGATGTGCACAGTAGTGGAGCCCAAACATGGCCTGCCACCTGCCGCTTGCCCCTTCTCTTCCCACCCTTAGTGCCACCTCACACCAGGGGCCTGCACAGAGAGCGTCCAGGCTTGGAACACCTTCCCTCTCGGGCTGAAGGGCGCGGGCTGTGGGGCTCAGCCTGTCTGAAGAGGATGGCCTGGCCCAGAGCCTGTGCGGTTCAGGGGCCCCTGGGCAGAAGGCGGCACGCGGAGTGTCCATGCGGGCTCTGGGTGGGCCTGACTTCTCAGCCCAGAAGAATCCTGCCTGTGGTGGGAGGGCTGTGGTGGGTGGGGCCTGGAAAGCTCCCCTTTCCTGGAGCTCTAGGGACGTGTCTTTAGCACCATAGCAGGGTCCTCATGGCCTGTGTGAGCCCTGCCTCTGGAGAACTTTCCTTTTTGTCTCTTCACAGCTGTCTTCGGCCCTTTACTTCACTTTATTGACCTTTGCTTTTTTTAATTCCTACTTTCTACCTTTGTGGGTTTCTTCTTGCTGCTTCATTAGTTTGTGTCTCTTTTGTATCTAACCTATGCTTAACGCAGTTTCTCCTAGGCTGCATGAGCTGTGTCTTGGGAGTTCAGTTTTGTTTTTCTTTTTTGAGGCAGAGTCTTACTCTGTCACCCAGGCTGGAGTGCAGTGGCATGAGCTTGGCTCACTGCAACCTCTGCCTCCCAGGTTCCAGCAAATTTTCATGCCTCAGCCTTCCAAGTAGCTGGGATTATAGGCATGCGCCACCCCGCCTGGCTAATTTTTGTATTTTTGGTAGAGACGGGGTTTCACCATGTTGGCCGAGCTGGTCTCGAACTCCTGACCTCAAGTGATCCACCCCCCTCAGCCTCCCAAAGTGCTGGGATCACAGGTGTGAGCCACCGCGCCCGGCTGGAGTTGTTTTGAGACTGCATGATTTACGTTATGATTTTGTTTTCGATCCATGGGTTGTTCAGAAGTCCTTTTAGTTTCGAACATGTTTTCGTGTTTGTGTGCAGTGTCTTGCGTTCCTGCCTGCCATTCGTTGTGGTCTGTTTCCTTGTAACTGGTCAGCGTTTGTGGGTGTTCATAACGCTCAGCACCTCAGTTCCGGTGTGCCGGGTTTCTATTCTGTGCCTGCTGTCTCTCGGTCCTGTGGCGTTTCCACCCCTTTCCTCCGGCCTTTGTGTGCCATTAGGTTTGGGCTTATCCCTTGTTAGCCAAGGGTAACGGCCTTTTTGTCTTCATCTAACCTGAGATTCTGTCATTCAGCCACGGTGGGAACCTGCTGCAGGTGTGGTGACAGCTACTGTCTCCTAGAACATGACTCTGTGGGGTCCCTTGCTCTCAGCTGCGTCCCCAGTGTGTGGGACGTGGGATAGAGTTTGGCCATGGTGGCCACTCAGTGAATATCTTTTTTTTTTCTTTGAGATGGAGTCTCTGTCACCAGGCTGGAGTGCAGTGGCACAATCTTGGCTCACTG